GAGAGAGAGAGAGAGAGAGAGAGAGAGAGAGAGAGAGAGAGAGAGAGAGAGAGAGTGGGTGGGTGTATCACATTTTTCTTTATTCAATCACCTGATGATGGATACCTAGTCTGGTTCCATAACTTAGCTATTGTGAATTACACAGCTATTACATTGTTATACTTGTATCACAGTACTAATAATTCTTTTGTATAAGCACCAAGAAGTAGAATTGCTGGGTCATATGCTGATTCCATTCCTATGCCTTTTTGTTGTTGTTATTAGTGGCGGTGGTGGTGGTGGTGGTGGTTTATCTTATGTATTTTTTTAATTTGTTCTAATTAGGTATACATGACAGTAGAATGAATTTTGACACATCATACATAAGTGGAGAATAACTTCCCATTCTTTGGGTTGTACATGATTTAGAATGACACTGGTTATGTAATCATATATTCACATACATTATAAAAATGTCTGATTATTATTATCCTTCCTACCCCCATACACTCTCACCTCCCTTCACTCCCCTCTGCCTAATGCAAAGTACTTCTATTTTTCCCTAGCCTACCACCCTATTGAGAATTTGCATCTGCATATCAGAGAGAACATCTGGCCTTTGGTTCCTTGGGATTGGCTTATTTCACTTAGCATGATATTCTTTATCTCCATCCATTTACCAGCAAAATGTCATAATTTCATTCTTCTTTAAGGTTGAATAATGTTCCATTGTGTATATATTGCACATTTTTTAATCCATTCATCTGTTGAAGGACACCTAGGTTGGTGCCATAGGTTAGCTATTGTGCATTGAACTGTTATAAACATTGATATGGCTGCATCACTGTAGTATGCTGATTTTAAGTCCTGAGGACTTTTTAAACTGAGGAGTGGGATAACTGGATCAAATGGTGGCTGCATTCCAAATTTTCTGAGGAATCTTCATACTGCTTTCCAGAGTGGTTGCACCAATTTTCAGTCCTATCAATGATGTATGAGTGTACCTCATTCCTAGGTTTTTGAGGAATTTTTATTCTGATTGTCATAGTGGTATACAAATTTGCACTCCCACTGACAATGTATGAATCTAGCTTTTTCCCTGAATCCTCCTCAGCATTTATTGTTATTTGTATTTTTGATGATTGTCATTCCAACTAGAGTGAGATGAAATCTCAGTCAGATGAAATCTGTATTTTCCTGATTGTTAAAGATGTTGAAATTTTTTTCATATATTTTCCTTTAAGAAATGTCTGTTTAGTTAATTTGCCCACTTATCTGCTTATTTCTTTTGTGTGTGTGTGTGTGTGTGTGTGTGTGTGTGTTTTGGGTTTGTTTGTTTGTTTGTTTGTTTTTTGCTGTTATTATGGTTTGAGGTTTTGTTTGCTTGCTTGCTTTTTAGGTCTTTATGTTTTGAGCATGAATGGATGATGCATTTTGTCAAATGCTTTTTCTGCATTTATTGAGATAATCATGTGATTCTTGTCTTTAAGTCTATTGATGTGATGAATTACATTTATTGATTTCCATACGTTGAAACAACCTTGCATCCCTGAGATGAACCCCACTTGATAATGGTGCACTGGAGATGTAACTTTAGTTTATTTGGGATATTTTTCCTTTTTAAAAAATAATTTCTCAATGCTATAAACTTTCCTCTTAGAACTGCCATCATAGTGTCCCAGAAATTTTGGTACTTTGTATCACTATTCTTGTTTGATTCTAGGATTTTTAAAAAATTTTTCCTTTCATTTTTTTTATCTACTCATTGTTCAAAACTGTATTGTTCTGTCTCCATAAGCTTTTGTAGTGGCTATAAAGTTACTTTGATTTTAGTTGATTTCTACTTTCATTCTATTATGATCTAAAATGGATTATATCTTTTTTGTATTTGATAAGACTTGCTCTATGACCTAAAATTGGTCAGTTTTGGAGAAGGTTCCATGTGGA